TAGAGGGAGGTGTTAGGAGAGGGGATGAGGAGGGGTAGCGCACACGATCAGAGTGGGGCTACTGGAGGAGTGGGCACGGGGGGAGAGAAGGGCGAGTGGGGGGGGGCAGGTCTCAGGAAGGCTGACAGCAGTGAGAAAGGCAGGAGTCAGGACAGCAGAGGAGGGTGGGAGGTTGGGGGCAGCAGGCACCAGGGGAGCTGATGAAGCAAGGGGAGACATGGCAGCAGAGGGAAAAGGTAGAGGATTAGAAGATATTTAATTATAACTTGGGTGCCACAGTGGCACATCCAAACAAGCCACATGAACTCAGAACTGGTGCACAACACAAAATTCATTTTGCTTATGGGAGGAAACTCTTAGCCTGTGTCTACACTGGCGGTTTCTTGTGCAGGAACACGTCCACACTGCCATGTGCGAGCTGTGCTTTTGTACAAGAGCATCCATGGCAGTGTGGACGCTCTCTAGCCCAAGAAACTCCGATGGCCATTTTAGCCATAGGGGTTTCTTCTTCGAGTGATTGCTCATGTCCATTCAAATGAGGTGCATGCGCGCCGCGTGCACAGTTCCTGGAGCATTTTTTCCCCAGTGGTACCTGTCGGGCTGGCAGGTTGCCCCCTGGAGTGGCACTGCTATAGTGGAGCATAAGTACCCCGCCGGCTCTCCCCCTCCTCAGTTCTTTTACGTGACGGTAATGGTTGTTGGTCTCCTGGGCCTCGGAGCTCTGGCCGGCACCAGTAGAGTCGAGAGACCATCTGTCGCTGCCGGCCACAGTGGTACGAGGGCAGACTGTGCCGCAGTCTCCTGCCCAGCTGATCTGGGAGGCTTCACTGCCGGCACCCATGCACCCTGCGGCCCCAAGTACCAGCCTTGTTGGCTCTGCCCGTGCCGGCACCGCAAGCCCTTCCGATGTTGCAGGTGCCGCCAGCACCGTACCTGTAGGCACCACAGGCTCCGGCTCTACTGGCACCGCAAGCAGCGCATGGCCCAGTGCCACTGCTGCCGCACCCGCAGCTCCGTCCCCATGCAGGGAAGCAGCAGTTGATGGCGAGGTTCTGCCCGGGAGCGGTACAGGGTCAGCCTTCGTTGGCACTGCCATGGTCGGCGTCCGAACTGTCTTCGGAGTCCGAGGCAGAGTCCCTGCGTTCTGTGGGATCTTTGCGGTTGTCGTCCCAGTACCGATCCCATTCCCGGCACCCAATGGCACCACAGGGATTTGAGTAGACGTGGCTGCCGCAGGTCCAACAGCCCTGGCCCTTTTGGACACCCTGGGCTTATCACCAGTAGCAGGGATCACTCCTCCCTTCGGGGTCTGTCAGTGGCTCGCGGCAGAGGTCCGCGCCCTTGGCTTCCCTTTCCAGAGCCCCACCCTCATCTAAAGGGGCTAGCCCCAGGGGCCACCTGGACCCCGGTGACCCGAGGGCAGGGGCCCAGCAGCAGCCCGGGAGGCCGCAACAACCAGCCCCCATCCAGGGTGTGGTGGAGCAGCCGGTCCTGAGTCACGAGTTGACATCTTCATTGTCCCCTGATGAGGCCCTGGTTGACCCGGCCCTGGCTATGCCAGCCATGGATGCTAGATCCCACCAAGAGCTGCTGTGCCGGCTGGCCACAAATCTTGGGGTACCGGTGGAGCCTGTGACCGAGGAGTCAGATCCGATGGTGGACAGATGATGCTCCGGCGAAGTTAGCACTGCCACTCAATAAGAAGGTGGCAAAGATCACCAGTACGCGGTGGCAGATGCCGGCCTCTATCTCCCCGACGCTCAAAGGGCTCGAGAGGAGGTACTGTGTCCCCCAGTCGGGGCATGAGCACCTCTATTCGCATCCCGTACTGGAATCTATGGTGGCCCAGGCAGCTGCCCAGAAGGAGGGACAGAGGCAGCCGGGCCCATCCCCTAAGGCTAAAGAACCTACGCGTTTGGATCTGATGGGGCGCAAGGTTTATGCGACAGGGGGGGTGCAGCTGCGTATTGCCAACCAGCAGGCCATGCTCAGTCACTACGCCTAGAACACCTGGCTAGTGATGGACCGGTTCTGTGACAGATTGCCCCCGGAGGACAGACAGGAGTTCTCCGCCCTGGCCACAGAGGGCAGAATGATTGCTCGCGCTGCCCTGCAAGCATCTCTGGATGCTGTCGACTCCGCGGCCAGGACGATGGGGTCAGGCGTGGTAATGAGGCGCAACATCTGCCTGCAGGTCTCGGGGATCCCGTTAGACTTACAGACCACGATCCAGGACCTGCCGTTCGACGGGAAAGCCCTGTTGGCAGAGAATACTGACTCCAGGCTCCTTAGCCTAAAGGATACCAGGTCGACTCTTCAGTCATTGGGTATCCACACCCCGGCCCCCCAACGTAGGCAGGGGCCCCCCACAAGCCGCGCAGCCTGACTATTGGCGGAGTAGACCACGTGGTCCATCCGGGGGTTTTATCCAGGGGCAGGATCTGGGGGCTCGACACAGGCGCCGCCGGCCGTGACAGGAGGCAGGCAGGGGCCCCACTCAGCCCCCTCCCTCTCTTCCCAAGCAGCAGTTTTGAGGGTACGCTAGGGGACCGCATACTGATGGCCATTATCTCCCCCCCTTTTGGAGACAGGCTGGCCCCCTCTGCCCAGGCCTAGGCCTGGTTGGTTGTCACCTCAGACAAGTGGGTGCTGGACATAGTGTCTCAGGGCTACTCTATTCCCTTCCTGGGCCCTTACTCTTCCCTTCTCCCTTCCACGTCCCTCTTTGGGGACCCATCTCACGAGGCCCTCCTAGATCAGGAGGTCCTCACGCTCCTAGAGAAAGGGGCGGTGGAAAGGGTCCCTCCCCATCGGGAGGGCAGGGGATACTATTCCCATTATTTTATTATCCCAAAGCCAAAGGCAGGGCTTCGGCCCATCCTAGGCCTCAGGGCCCTCAACATGCACATAAAAAGGGAAAAGTTCTGGATGGTAACCCTGGCCTCAATTATTCCAGTACTGGACAAGGGTGATTGGAATGCGGCCCTCGATTTTAAAGGACGCCTACTTTCATGTGTCAATTCGGGTGAACCACAGGAGGTTCCTCCAGTTTGTGGTATCGTACCAACACTTCGGCTACGTCTACACTGGCCCCTTTTCCGGAAGGGGCATGTTAATTTCAGAGATTGCAATAGGGAAATCCTACTTCAAAGTAGGAATAAGATCCTCCGGAAAAGGGCGCTTTTTCCGGAGGATCGGGGCCAGTGTAGACGCTCTTTTCCGGCTTTTCTAAAAGCCGGAAAAAAGCGGCGGACATTTTTATTTAAATGCCGCGGGGGATATTTAAATCCCCCGCGCATTTCCCTATTGCGATTTCAAAAATTACCATGCCCCTTCCGGAAAAGGGGCCAATGTAGACGTAGCCTTCCAATTTACAGTCCTCCCCTTTGGGCTGTCGACGGCCCCCAGGGTGTTTACGAAGTGTCTGGCAGTGGTGGCAGCCTATCTCAGGCGGATGGTAGTCCAGGTTTTTCCATATTTGGCCGACTGGCTCTTCAGAGGCTGCTCAAAAAAACAGGTCCTCTCGCAGATAGGGTTCGTACGGTCCCTTTTCGACAGATTGAGTCTTACAGTGAACGAGGAAAAGTCGAAACTTACCCCTACTCAGAACATAGAGTTCATGGGGTTAGCCCTGTCTGCCAAGACAGGGTGCACTTACCTCCCACTATCCAGGTTCCAGGCGATAAAGACCCTGGTGTCTGCCCTGCGGCAGTCGCCGCTGACGACGGCATGGTCGTGCATGAGACTGCTGGGCCATATGGCAGCCTGCACCTATATTGTCAGGCACACCAGACTGAGGCTCAGGCCGCTGCAGGCGTGGTTGGTGGGGTCGTTCAACCAGGCCAGAGACAGTTGAGACTGGATCCTTACAGTGCCGGAGGGAGTCCTCGCCTCGCTCAGTTGGCGGACATTGGAGAGCAAGGTGTGTTCAGGAGTCCCCTACCGTGCAGAACTGCCGTCAGCCCAACTCATCACAGATGCTTCTGACAACGGTTGGGGGGCACACTTGCAGTGCCACAGGACACAGGGGTTGTGGACCCCCCAGGAGAGGGGGTTGCATATAAATGTCCGGGAACTGAGGGCAGTCAGGAGGGCCCACAAAGTCTTCCTGACTGTGCTCTCAGGGAAACCAGTGTCTGTGCTGCTGGACAATACCGCGTCTGTTTTCTACATAAACAAGCAGGGGGGAGCCCGATCATCCCCGCTGTGTCAGGAGGCGGCTCTCCTGTGGGAATCCTGCATAGTCCACCGCATCCAGTTACAGGCGGCATACTTGCCGGGGTGCGTGAATACGTTAGCAGACTCACTAAGCAGGTCCTTCAGAGTCCACGAGTGGTGCTTGAAGTGGGAGGTGGTGGCGCACCTCTTCTGGATGTGGGGTCGTCCCCTACTGGATCTTTTTGCTACCGAGGGGAACATGAAATGTCCCCATTACTTTTCCCTCCTGGGCCTGGGAGAGGGCTCGAGAGGGGACGCCGTGACCTCTAGACTTGCTTTACATGTTTCCCCCATTCCCGCTAGTTCCCAGGGTGCTTACCAGGACCAAGGTCTCGGGTGATCCTGATAGCCCCAGATTGGCCCAGGCAGTTTTGGTATCCCATCCTGTGGGAAATGGTGGTGGCCCGCCCTTCTCGTCTGCTGCTGACTCCGGACCTAGTTACTCAGGACGGAGGAGTGGGGGTGGGGGGGGAAGAGAGCATCCTGTACCACCCGGATGTACAGTCCCTTCACCTGACGGCGTGGCTTATCCATGGCTGAAGTCCCCCGAGAGGGTCTGTTCTAGGAGGGTGCAAGAGATCCTCCTAGGCAGTCAGAAGCCGGCCACCAGGCGATCATATGCCTCCAAATGGAAGTTTCTCAGCCTGGGCTCAGGGTAAGGGTGTTTGCCCCTCCCGGGCTCCTGTCCTGCTGATTTTGGATTACCTACTTGGGCTGCAACAGGCGGGCCTGTCCGCTCCGTCAGTGAGGGTGCATTTGGCATCCCTAACGGTGTTTCACGAGGGATCAGGGGGCGGGTCTCTGTTCACTGACTCCCTGGTGAAGAGGTTCTTGAAGGGCTTGGATAAACTGATTCCCCATGTAAGGGCCCTGATGCTGCACTGGGCCCTCAACCTGGTGCTAAATAAGCTCTGGGTCCCCCCTTCGAGCCCCTGGCATCCTGCTCTCTTAGGTTTCTGTCGCTAAAGGTGGCTTTTATAGTCGCCATTATGTCAGCACATCGGGTTTCTGAACTGCGTGCCCTGACGTGGAGCCCCCATACTTAGTGTTCGCAGACAGAGTTCGTCTGCATCCTCACCCAAGGTGGTGTCGGCCTTTCATACGTCACAAGACATATACCGCCCGGTTTTTCTTTCCCAAGCACCACAGCTCCCCTAGGGAGCGGGCTTTGCACTCCCTTGCCGTGAAAAGGGCACTGGCGTTTTATATAGACAGAACCAAGCCGTTTCCCAAGACTTCTCAGTTGTTTATTGCCTATGCTGATTGGGTGAAAGGGATGCTGGTTTCAGCCCAGAGGCTGTCGGGGTGGATATCATCCTGCATTAGGGAGTGTTATGCTCTGGCGCCTAGGGAGCCGCCTCGCGTGTCGGCGCATTCCACCAGGGGACACGCCTCATCCGTAGCCTTTGGGGCCCACGTTCCAATCCTTGAGATCTGTAGGGCAGCTCTGTGGTCCTTGGCCCATACGTTTACAGAGCACTATGCTCTCACCCAGCAGGTGCGGGAGGACTCTGCCGTGGGTGCGGCTGTGTTGGGTTCTTTCCTGTAAACAAAGCAAAGGGGGGTGGTTGAGTGGCACACAGCGTGTCATGCACCTGCTGCATCTCTCTGTCGAGTTTCGTGTTGAGTTCTGTTATAGTTCTGCATTAAAGTTCTTGTTGTCAATGAATGTCGGTGTGAGCGTTCTGTAGGGTGACTCCGACCCCGCCACCGGGCAAGGGGTAGCTTGGTAGTCACCTCATTTGAATGGACATGAGCAATCACTCGAAGAAAAAAACAGGGTTACTTACCTGTAACTATTGTTCTTCGAGATTTGTTGCTCATGTCCATTCGATTTCCCCCCTTGCCTCCCCTGCGTCGGAGTTTCCGGCAAGAAGGAACTGAGAGCAGGGGTACCTTATGCTCCGCTATAGTGGCGCCACTCCAGGGGGCGACCTGCTGCCCCGACGGGTACCACTGGAGAAAAAATGCTCCAGGAACCGTGCACATGGTGCGCATGCACCTCGTTTGAATGGACATAAGCAACACTTCTCGAAGAACAACAGTTATAGGTAAGTAACCCTGTTTTCTGGCACAAGAAATCCCTGCTGAGCATCCACACTGCCCTCTTGTGCAAGAGAGCTTACACCTGTTAGGAAAGAGCGTAGCTCTTGCGCAAGACGCCCTCTCTTACCACGCCGCACTGTACATTTCCTTGCACAAGAGCAGGCGGGCAGTGTGGCTGCTCTGTGGGGTCTTGCACAAGAACGGCTGTACTTGCACAAGAAGCTGAGTGTAGACACAGCCTTAGAGGGAACACGTCCCCCAGCGCTCTGCCCCCGAGTTAATGTCACACACATTGGGTTAATGCA